CACCAAAGACAGACTCTTGTTAGCACCCAGAAAAAAAGACGTTCCACCCACAGAACAGAGATTCAAATATGCCAGGCTTCTTACCACCACTGGAGGCCGGAGGACGATGGACTGTCATCTTTAAGTTTAAAGAAAAACGACTGTCAGCCCAGAGCTCTATCTGGTGACAAATCCTTCAAAGGTGAAAACAAAATAAAGACATTTGCAGACGACTGAAAACGGACAGAAGTCTTGGCCAGCAGACACACTGTACGAGATGGTAAAGGAGTATCTTCAGGCTGAAGGGATCGCTGCTAGGCAGAAACTCGCCTGCAGAAAGGGGTTAACTCTTCACAGCTCCAGGAAGTGGCGACATGTTTGCGAAGACACCTCTTGTTAGTACCGTTTTATTTTCTGTGTTGTATGAATCCAAACATTAGGGTGGCAGTGAGCCAGTTGCCTCACTGGTACCACCGGCTTGGTGGGTAATCCAACTCGTCCCTGCCGTCCCCGAGAGCCGCCATCCAGCCCCTCCCTGCTGTCCCCGAGAGCCACCTTCCAGCTCCTTTCCTGCCATCCCTGAGGGCCACCGTCCAGCCCCATCCCTACTGTCCCCAAGAGCCGCCGTCCAGCTCCTTTCCTGCTGTCCCTGAGAGCCGCCATTCAATCCTGTCCCTGCTGTTCCTTAGAGCCACCATCTAGCCCGTCCCTGCCTTCCCCAAGAGCCACCATCCAGCTCCTTTCCTGCTGTCCCTGAGAGCCGCCGTTCAGTCCTGTCCCTGCCGTCCCCGAGAGCCAGTGTCCAGCTCCTTCCCTGCTGTCCCTTAGAGCCGCCGTTCAGTCCTGTCCCTGCCGTCCCCAAGAGCCGCCGTCCAGCTCCTTTCCTGCTGTCCCTTAGAGCCGCCGTTCAGTCCTGTCCCTGCCGTCCCTGAGAGCCAGTGTCCAGCTCCTTCCCTGCTGTCCCTTAGAGCTGCCGTTCAGTCCTGTCCCTGCCGTCCCCGAGAGCCAGTGTCCAGCTCCTTCCCTGCTGTCCCNTGTCCAGCTCCTTCCCTGCTGTCCCTTAGAGCTGCCGTTCAGTCCTGTCCCTGCCGTCCCCGAGAGCCAGTGTCCAGCTCCTTCCCTGCTGTCCCGTAGAGCTGCCGTTCAGTCCTGTCCCTGCCGTCCCTGAGAGCCAGTGTCCAGCTCCTTTCCTGCTGTCCCTTAGAGCCGCCGTTCAGTCCTTTCCCTGCTGTCCCGTAGAGCCACCATCCAGCCCGTCCCTGCCATCCCCGAGAGCCGCCGTCCAGCACTTCCCTGTACCGGGCAGGCCATGGTCTTGCACAGCAGGACACAGCATCCCAGCCTTACCAGTACTAGCTGGCACCCTTTCCCGGTGACTGGGTGGGAGGCACAGCAGTCTGGTGGATAGACACGGGGCAGATAGACATGGAAGGCCCCCAGCTGCTCTCACCCAAAGGCACTGCTCTTTTCCTGTGGCATTTTTTTGGTAATTTCTGTAAATAAATCCACACGTTTGGCCTTCACCCCGTGACAGAGACTTCAGTCATGATGATGTGATCAGCTGCAGACACAAGTCAGGAACCTGGGGGTGGTTCAGGAGAACACGGTGGATCATGAAGTCCCTACTACGCACTTTCTAAATAGGCTTCCAGCAAAGCTCTTTGTGTTAGACCAGAAAGTGGAAGATTTCTTATGCATTTACAACTAGCCTGCCCAAAAATGGGGAGCATAAAATTTAAAAAATATTTATCCGTGAAGCCTTCTTACAGATTATAAATAGCTGGAACCAAATGTGCTTTAAATCAAAGGCATCCTATAGAAACAGGAGCCCCTGTGAAGTGCAGGGGGCAGGGCCTGTGTGGGGCCGTGTACAGCATCCGCAAGGTACTGCGGTCTTTATGCTTCCTCAGCACGGAGACCCCAACCGCGTGTAAGTCAGGTGTGGGGCCTCGCCAGGCGGTCAGAGGGGCGCGTTCTCCCATTCGACCATCCAAAAGCAGATCTACACCCCGCCATCCAAAGGAGGACTGGAATTTCTTTAAGGAACAGAATAAGCCCCAGAATCACTCCATGGTAGTCAGTGTCTTCTAACGTAAGCTCTAGCTGTTGGAAATGGAATGAAAGCTATGAAAGGAGTAAGGCGTTTTAGTTTTTCATGTCATTAGCTTCGCTAAAACCTGCTATTTAAAGAATCTTTTATCAGGCAGCCTTGCAATTCAAAATTCAGGACAGGCGAGGTTACAGGAGAACGCGTTTTCAGGCACCCCCAGCCGATGCGAAGGCAGCCACATCTGGGCGGACCCCTCGCCGCACGGTGCTCGGCTTTGCGGGCCCTGGCTCACTGGAGCTCTTCAGGCCCCGGTCCCCTCTGATGAACGCGAGGCTGCTGCTCTTTACACAGGGCCTCTCGCTGTGTCGCCCAGGCTCCAGTGCAGTGGCACGACCTGGGCTTAAGTGATCTTCCTACCGTGGCCCCCAGAGTCGCTGGGACTAGAGGCACGCTCCCCACACCTGGCCAGTCAAAGAACAAAGCTTTCATTCTTGACGGATTTTTAAAATCAGCTCCTTTTCCTTTCTCTGTTCAACGAAGGTTATGTATTGGGAACACTCTGGGGGTAAATTTATTTCTCGAATTAGCCACTGTGTGCAGCAGCTGCCTGGAAGGTTTTGGTGGTGGAAACAGGGTCAGAGAGCGCATTCTGCAGCCCAGGGGGTCCCCTCCCTCCCTCGCAGCCTCCTTGCTCCGCCATGTATTTGTATTCTTTTACCTGTAGTGTGGCTCTGCACCGGGTACGGGGTGATTTGAAACCATATCAGAGCCGCCGTGGCAGCCACACACCTGATGCGGCTGAAGAATGAGCCCTCAGCGCTCGGTCCCCGGCCACCTCCCTTGAGTCTCAGTGTCGATTGTCACCATTGCCTTCGCTGTGCTTTTACTGTGATATCAAGGTGGAAAAATCACAGGCATATTCAAAGGCAGGGCGGCGTAGGGAGCCTGGGACTGGACAGGCAGTGGGTCCTGAGGGCTCTGAGGCCCGCCCCACACCTGTGGCCCTTCATTCCTGTGTATTTCACTAGGCAGTGTTTCTTCCTCACGTCCTTAGTGGCATGTAATTCACGTGCCGTAAAATTGCATTTAAAGCAAGCTTGTCTGCGTGCGGCTCAGGATGGCTTTGAATGCAGCCCAACACAGATCCATAGACTTTCTTAAAACATTGTGAGATTTTATTTTTAACTCATCAGCTGTTGCTAGTGTAGTATATTTTATGTGTGGCCTACAGAAGCCAAAAGACTGGACAGCCTGATGTAAAGTGTGCGAGTCAGTGTACATATTCATGGAGTCTGACCATGGGCACTGAGTTGAATACATTCTGGCTGGGGCGGCTCACACCTGTCATCCCAGCACCTATACAGGCGGAGGCAGGAGGATGGCTGGAGTCCAGGAGTTTAGACCAGCCTGGGCAACATGGTAAAACCTCATCTCTACAAAATATGCAAAAATTAATGGGGCATCTTGGTGCATGCCTGCGGTCCCAACAACTGGGAAGCTGAGGAGGGAGGACTGCTGCAGGAGGAAGGCGGAGGCCGCACCTCGGGAGGGAGGCGGAGGCCGCACCTCGGGAGGGAGGCGGAGGCCGCACCGCGGGAGGGAGGCGGAGGCCGCACCGCGGGAGGGAGGCGGAGGCCGCACCGCGGGAGGGAGGCGGAGGCCGCACCGAGGGAGGGAGGCGGAGGCTGCACCGAGGGAGGGAGGCGGAGGCTGCAGTGAGCTGTGATTGCACCACTGCCCTCCAGCCTGGGTGACAGAATGAGACTCTGTCTCAAAAAAAAAAAAAAATTCTGACTGCCCCCGGAAGAAACCTGGCACTCTACTTCCTGTGTCTGTGGACCAGCCTGTTCCGTGCATCGCGTGTCCACGAGCCACGTGCTGTGCCTTCTGCGTTGGGCGTGGCACTGAGCCCTGGGGCGGGCCTCCTCACGCCAGCAGCAGTGTGTTCTGCCTGCCTCTTACAGGACCATAGGTGGCAGGGGGTTCCTTCTAGAATCCAAGAGTAAGTTTTACCGTGAGGCAGGGTCAGGTTAGAGAGGCCACAGGCTGAGGCAGGCGTGGGATGCGTTGGACGTTGTGTGTTAGGTACATGTGGGGAGCTCCATGTTTGTGATGTGCGGTCCTCGAGACACGTGTGCTCCTTGCTCACGGCTTTGCTGTCTGAGGGTGAGAAGCGGGTCACGGCACCACAGAGCCCCTTTAGGTTGCAATGCAGTAGTAAAGATACAGGCCTTTCCCAGCCCTCCCCACCAATTCCTTTCATTTAAGATCCCTTTTCTCATGCTCTGCGATCCAGGTAATGTGATGTCCTTAAATTTTCAGATTCGGCCGGGTGCGGTGGCGCACGCCTGTAATCCCAGCACTTTGGGAGGCCGAGGCAGGTAGATCACGAGGTCAGGAGATCGAGACCATCCTGGTCAACATGGTGAAACCCCATCTCTACTAAAAATACAAAAATTAGCTGGGCATGGTGGCGCATGCCTGTAATCCCAGCTACTCAGGAGGCTGAGGCAGGAGAATTGCCTGAACCCAGGAGGCGGAGGTTGTGGTGAGCCGAGATTGCGCCATTGCACTCCAGCCTGGTGACAGGGCGAAACTCTGTCTAAAAAAAAAAAAAAAAAATCAGATTCTAGAGTGTGACCTTTTTTGGGGCATTTGATTGAAATAATTGACACTGCAAAAAAAAAATATTAATTCACTCTTCCCGAAAATATATGTTATTTAATTTTATGAGTCCATAGTAGGTGTTTCTGGAAATACGTTTTGGTTGCCTGTTCTGGGCCTGCCCGTGTGCGGGCAGTGGGGAGGCGCCTGGGCCCCTAGTGCCCGGCAGGCAGGTCCTCGTGGCCGGGCTTCCCTGACCCACACTGTCCTGGGTGTGCCGGGTGGGCTTCACTCAGCGGGGAAACACAGTGGGTTGGGGTCGAAGCAAGCCGAAGTTTTAATATGTGTTTCTTCTTTTGCTTTTCAGGTATTCTTTCGGTAAGTGAAACCCATTTAGAGAACAGCTCTGCAGGAGTGGAGCGTTGTGTTCGGGTAGGTATCTTCACGCGCTCGTCTGGCCTTTCCTGTTGCCCGAGCTTCCGCCGTCAGTCCTTCCGGAACTGCACTGCTGGCAGCGGGCAGCGCTGGGGACCCGACCATGCCTCCTCCCCGGACGAGGGAGCTCCTGGGCTCCCAGGCCCCGGGCACATAGAGACGGACGGCCGCACGGGTGATCGTGGGCGTCTCACAGGTGTTATGACCACCGCTTCCCCGGGGCAGAGGGAAAGCACCCCCAGACCAGCCCCCCGTGGACGCGCAGGGCTGTGTGCACATCTGCCTGGAGGAGGGGTTCAGTGGCACTCACCGCGCGCCGAGGCTGGCGGACGCTCTGCCTGGAGGAGGGGTTCAGTGGCGCTCACCTCGCCGAGGCTGGCGGGCGCTCTGCCTGGAGGAGGGGTTCAGTGGTGCTCACCGCGCCGAGGCTGGCGGGCGCTCTGCCTGGAGGAGGGGTTCAGTGGCGCTCACCTCGCCGAGGCTGGCGGGCGCTCTGCCTGGAGGAGGGGTTCAGTGGCGCTCACCGCGCCGAGGCTGGCAGGCACTTCGGCTTGTGCTTTGTGTGACGGAGGGGTTGGAGGTCCTCCCCAGTCCACACCACGTGGAAAATACTGGAGGCTGGGAAGAGACAGGACAGGGCCAGGAGGGCAGTGGGTGTGCCCTCTAGTGGGCCCAGAGGCCTGCAGACAGTCATGGGACACGGTGGGTTGGTAAGTGGACCTGATCCAGGACCTTGGAAGGATGACCACTTCCCACCCCTACCTTTCTCCCTGACCTCAGGGCGCAGGCATAAGGGCTGATCTCTGCCGGTGAAGGCTCCAGCCTGGGCCACGAACTCAGGCGCTCTCCTCCGGCCTCTCTGGCTCTCTGTCCTTCCCCACCTTGCTTCACTGCTGGACCAGCAGAGTGGGGCGGCCTGTCTGGGCGTGGACCTTTGCCTGTCTCCTTCACAGTCTCGGGCCTTAGGGCCTGGGTCCTTGCAGTAAGGTCACTTTCTTCATGCCTCTGTTCCTCACACATTTCCATTCCTTCAATATTGAGCACCAGTGATTTGGAAATTGGGACGGAATCAAACAAAGGAAGAACCTCAGAATCTGTTAAAATGTAAATACAAAGAACCTTATTACTGATCTGTAATCACCTTACAAGGCAGGTACGTGTAATCGCAGGTGACCGGGCTGCCACCGTCACTCCTGGACTTCCGGGCTGCCGGCCGCCCCTGTGGCCTCCACCTGGCTCAGAGCACAGTCACTACGTGCTCACACCTGTTCATTGTTTTCATGTTTACGTTTTCTTAAAGCAGAAAGCAAGGAATTATTTTAGGAATTCCCTTTCCATTTGCAAATCTGACACGACCTAGTGGGAACCAGCTGGCTCTGTGCCTGCCAGTCGTGTGCGGCCACCTCAAGGGAGTGGAGCATGCGCAGCGGCACCCCGAATCCCCGGGCCTCCCCCGGAGTGCGCCAGGATTCATTCCATGTCAAAATGCCCTCAGAGAAAACCGCATCCTTCAACGTTTAGATAAACAAATCTTTTCTTAGTAAATTTTATTTATTAAAAATTACAACAGGCCAGGTGCAGTGGCTCATGCCCATTATCCTAGCAGTTTGGGGGCTGAAGCAGGGTTGCTTGAGCCCACGAGTTTGAGACCAGCCTGGGCAACATGGCAGGACCTATCACTACAAAAAATGTTCGAAAATTAAAATTGCAATAGTATTGCTTTTTCTCAATTCTTATGAAGAGTGAAACCTTTAGGCCCTGACCCCTGAATTTAGTGGGAGAAGTTCCTGCTGTCTGATGTTGGGAATTCTGAGCAGTGATCACAAAATTGAGTCCTATGAGGCAAGCCTACAGTGCACAGGGTCAGTGCCACTAGGGCTGAGTGGGGGCCCGGGGCAGGCTGGGGGAGCAGCGGCCGAAGCTGACGTGTTCTCCGTGAGTGGGGGGCCCGGGGCAGGCTGGGGGAGCAGCGGCCGAAGNGGGGGGCCCGGGGCAGGCTGGGGGAGCAGCGGCCGAAGCTGACGTGTTCTCCGTGAGTGGGGGGCCGGGGGCAGGCTGGGGGAGCAGCGGCCGAAGCTGACGTGTTCTCCGTGAGTGGGGGGCCTGGGGCAGGCTGGGGGAGCAGCGGCCGAAGCTGACGTGTTATCTGTGAGTGGGGGGCCCGGGGCAGGCTGGGGGAGCAGTGACTGACGCTCATGTGTCCCTATGAGGGATGGGTCTGAGGCCGCGATGCTGCCCTGTCTTGGGAGGGAGGTCATGGGAGTCATCCCCAAGGATGAGAGGGCCTGGAGCCCACCCTCCCCGTGCCCTGGCCTGTGAGGCCTCCTGAGGTACACAGGAGTTGGCTGTGGGGGAAGCACCTGGGGAGTGGACTCCCAGAGGCAGTGCAGGAGTGGCAAAGGCAGTCCGGGGGCCAGGTGTCTCTGGATCCACCCCCGTGTCCCCACCCACTTGCTGAAGCACGCAGCACGGGCCGCATGGGGGTTGGGGTGTGCACCTGTGTGGTGCTGTAAGGGCGGCGCCTGCGCTCCCAGCCACAGGAAGGCCGTCTTCTGCGCATCGGCTCTGCTGGGTGTTCAGGTGTACTTCATGCATTTTAATTGAGCCTTTCTAGCAGGGGGTAATTGCAGGGACTCACGTGGAGCGTTGGCTCCTTAGCGTTAATGTTTTCCTCCTGAGAGCCCTCGTGAGCCCGAGCCCGAGTTTCGTGTTGCGTCTGGCCCTGCAGGGGCTCAGTGCGTCACTTGGACTGTTGCGCAGAAATTCAGACGACGGCTCGTGGCTTTGGCGATGCTCTCCCTCCTTTCCCAGCAGCCACGCGGCTTTGCAGCGTCCTCCCTTCCCCGACGGTGGAGGACACGGAGCAGCCAGTGACTGAGGTATGACACCAGGTGCTGGGCCGCAGAGCCGCCGCACCGAAGGCCCTGGAAGGTCCGGCCTCCTGATCTGAGGCCTCTGGGGAGGCGCTTTCCTCTGGCCGCCTTTGGGGCGCCTGGGAGAACTCACTTTGCACGTGTGCTTCCGTGCTCACCTCAGTGACGTTGTCTTTAGTTTGCAAAATGGGCTTTGGTGGGGATTAGGCAGCTCTAGGGCTGTCACTGGGTACGTGTGTTTTTAGAATTAATTAAAGCTAAATGAATTAAAAAGCTCGTCCTTGGTTGCCTCGGCTGTACCCCACATGCTCTGTGGCCACATGTAGCTGTGGCTTTCCCACTGGGCGGTCCCAGACCCCCCCTTTTTTTCTTTGAGACAGAGTCTCACTTTGTGACCCAGACTGGAGTGCAGTGGCGCAATCTCAGCTCTTTGACCTCCCGGCTCGGGCGATCCTCCCTCCTCAGCCTCCTGCGTAGCTGGGACTACAGGCACGCCACCATAGCTGGATAATTTTTAAACGTTTTGTCGAGACGGGGTCCCACTGTGCCACCAGACTGGTCTTTGGGTTTCTGTTGGCATCTCTCTGATGCTCTGTCCTGGGCTCTCTGCCCCAGGGCCCCGTGCCCCTGGCCACAGGCGGATGCGACTGCTGGGCAGGATGAAGCTGCGATCGTGGGGGCCGCGCTTTCCGGGACGCAGGAAAACCACAGTATTTGTTAAACCCCGTTCAGCCGTCTGTGTTTCTGCTGGAGTTCAGATAGGGCTGAGCTTTGAGGGCCGCTGAGTGTGTCGCATCCACTTCAAAGAAGGAGCCTACCCGTCATGAATTCTGAAGCCCCAAGTGCCTGCTTCCTGCCTCCCTGCAGGGAGTACACCGTTTGATATCCAGCGAGCCTGGATCCCGGAGGCTCTGAGCCTCCAGCTGCCCTGCCAGCTGCCCTTGCGCGTTGGAAAGGAGGCAGGAACCCAGAGGACCCGCCGCGGCGGGCACTGGGGGTCCACAGGGCAGCCTGCTTTCCCTCCTCCGGGCCAGGCTGCCTTTGCCTGCACCCTCCCGGCAGCACACAGTCCCCCAAGTGTGGGCCCTATCTCCCAGTGTGGCCCTGTTTCCTGAGTGTGGTTCTCATGTCCCCAGCATGGTCCCCATCCCCCATGGGGCACCAAGCGGAGTACCTGGTCCTGTAAGGAGAGCAGGCTCTGGGAAGGGGCTCCCATCTGCAGAGTTTGGTGAGGTTTAAAGGGACTGAGATCAGGGCCGGGCCCCAGTGCTTCTGGAGAGGCTGCTTTCTGGCCCCTCCCAGGCCTGGGGGGGAGATGGCCGAACTTCAGGAGTGGGCGCAGGATGAGACGGCAGCATGACCCCACTGCCACTGGGACGTGACCAGGGAAAGGAGAGACTTGCGGTGAGGAGTCCTGGAACCAGGGGCAGCCCTGTGTGAGGAGGGGGCAGAGGCCACGGGGGCGGGGCGGGGCTTCTCCCGGCTCAGCTCTCAGGCCATTTTGCAGGGTCCTTGCACACAGAGTCCCAAAGGAAGACTGACAGGTTCCCAAGGCCTTTGGAGTGCTTCAGGCCCCCAAAAGCATTTCGTAATTTTTTGTGATTTTAGCCTGATGAACCTGGATGTGTGTGGGTATCTACCTCCAGGCAATCCCACCCCCACCTTGCACCCCTGGGCCCCCATGGGGGCGTCGGAATGGGCTCATGCAGGGGACCAGGCTGTTGATGGTGACTGCCTGCGGGGAGGGCTGGACGCCTTTGCCCCCCTGCTCCCTCAGAGCAGCAAAGTGAGGGTGGCAACTGGGGGCATGCAGAGGAGTGAGGGTCCAGGTGCCCAGGGAAGGGTTCTGGAAGGCTCCATGCTCCTGGGATATTCCTTTGTAGGAAGTGGGTTCTGTATCTTACCGCCATCCCATCCAGGTGAGAGCTGGACAGGTCAGTGCTGAGGTAACTTGGGATCCTTGGAGTAAGAAGCTTCCTTGAGCAATGGTCAGTTTATCCTCATCTTGCATTGAGGAATGACTGGTTTATTCTCTTCTCCCATTGATGAATGATTGGTTATCTTCATCTT